AGGCTTGAAAACTTCCCTTACGTTTTATCGATCTTTTTCTCATGACGACGATGACGATGATGATGATGACTTATGTGATTAATGCCACTTACTCGAAACCTGTCGCGAGTGACCGATGTGTGCAGGCAACAGCGCTGCACGCTATTTTTATGAATACAACAGGTGCACTTTTCCTCGTACAATTTTTCTTGATTTTTTTTTTAACGAGCTTAATCGTAAGAATATCAACTCAACGAAAGGTTTCACACGGTGTTTCGTTGCTTCAAAATTGAGTCCAAAAAAATGAAATTTTTCTCCTCGTTTCGTCATTCGGCCGCTAGAAGCACGCCCGAGCCTCTAAATTTGCAAAGAACAAGAAGAAAAAAGAATCGCACGCAAAATCTATTACATTAGAAAATATGATTGGCTACACTCGTGTTGGTGCGCGCGCGCGCGATAATGTGTTCTCTTAAAATATCTTCAAACACGCGTCAAACGTTGTGATATTAAGTAGTACAGCACGCCGTAACCTAGTTAATAATTGTACATAAGTAAGTCGACGAGTCGGTCATTCATTACATGTGAAACGTGTTGTCAGTGTCCGCGTGTGTGTGTGTGTGACTGTACAAAGTCTTACTGCTCGCGCGCGAACGAGTAAATACGAACGATACAATGTGCCAAATAGTCGAGTGCAACACGTCTATACAGTCGTTCGCGCTGACTTCTTTCAAAGTTGCGCGTTGAGTATAGTAGCCATAACTATACCGAAACTACTTTTTGTAGCTCACCGAGCTAATTCTCAAAGTAAAATACCGTATATATTTTCGTACGCATTTTCGAGAATTCGCTTTATCGGTTATTTTTAACCGATGGAAAACCACGTGTTGGTTGCAAAATAACCCAAAACGCCTCGAATCTCGCGTCTTTTTTTTACATTCCGCCGTTGAGCTTGCGTTGCAGCAATACTTTGGTAAAAATGTCATGGTTGCTCTCTTTCTCCCTCTCCGCATCCGCGTGTAATATTCGATATCGATCGGTGCGAACTGGAATATCAGTTAGGATTAATTAGACAACTTTTCTCTCTGCCTACATGTGTATATTATAACCTCCCGCGGTGCGTGTGGGTGCGTCCGAGCGGCGTTTACGCTCCTATACCCTTTCGTAATTTATCGCTCGAAAGGGAGGTAATCGAGGATTAATGCTCGATGGATTTGCGAATGATTCATCCCTTTGAATGCTTACAAAAATTGATCAGACTGCTGAGAGCCTCGAGTCTTAAAGTAATTGTTTTTTGTTTTACATAAAAAAAAAAAGTACCGTCCGACCGAGCGCAATCGCGTAATTTTTTCTCGTGTCAAAGTGGGCCACACGCTGCATAATATTTTAATAAAATACTCCATGCCCCGCTGGTCGGTGTATTACACGTAATACGAACCTCCCACGTTCCAACAACCAACCTGCTTGTATATACATTTTGTACCATAGACTTATCTATGAAAGCTCTCGGCGTCGCTGCAAGTGCGAGTGTGTGTGTGTGTATATAAGCATCACAAGCAGCAGCGAAGCGAGAGAAGATCGAGGCGCTTGCGCAGAGCTTGTAACCGAAAAAATTAGGTCGTGCGCGCACGCGTTCTTCGCTCTCTCTCGGCGAGCTTTTCCATGTGTGCCTTTATACACCGTTCGCATACGTTTATTATAGCTTTCCGTAATAATAATTAGAATGTGTGTGTGTGTGGGAGGAGGGGCAGAAGAGAAGAAAACAAGAAGTAGCATCGATAAGAGTGCCGATAACTCGTCGCATTGGTGCCCATAAAGATGTGTTATCGAAAGGGCGTGTAAGTGTACGTGTGTACGTGTGTATAACAGCTCGCCCTTTACCATAGCAGCCACCGCATACATTATACGAGTGAGTAAGAGAGAGAGAAAGACAAACCCCTATATTTAATGGGGTTATGTACTTTGCGTGCGCGAGACTGAATCGATCGATAAAATACTCGTAGACAAAGTTCACATTTCTCGGCGTCGGCGGCGGCGGCGAGCCCGACGTCTAAAAGCTAATGAACTCCTCCCGTTCTATACATATCATCATACACATATAGCGAACTGTCGGCAGAAGAGGAGAAAAAAAAAGTCTCGCCGCGCGATTGGCTTCTTATCTGCGCACCGAATTCCTTGTGTGTGCCTCTCATTGATTCGCAATATCCGAAAATTCAAGTGGATTGTTATTTCTTTCTTTCTTTTTGCTCGCGTACTATATCGACTTCCACACACACACACACTTAGAGATTTGATTTCAATTTCTCGGAGACGCGTATACACGCGCCGTGTGGGTGTGCGTGACCCAGATTCCGCGAAAACGGCGGCGACGATACGCGAGAATATTGTATCGGAATTATTACACTCTCGTACTCGGAAGCTTTTTATTTCGGAGCGAGCTTTTGGGCGTATATATATACACGATGCCCCGAGCGTGCGTCATTTTATACCGTACGCGTTGAAAGAGTTTCTTTGAAGAAAGATAAAGCAAAAAGTCGATTAGATGTCGAACCAATGCTATGCGTCAACCGCAGTGTAGCGGACATGGGTTTAAAGTCGAGAAACTCTCGGACGAGCTTTTTGCTCCTCGGGGGATAATCTCCAACTCGCTCTGCCAAAGGGATAATCTCGAGTGAAAGTTTGTTTATCCTAATTGATTGCTTAGTAACAGACATAGCTCATTACTCGTACAATAAAGGCATCGTAATGTAGCGCCACGACGTAAGGGAATCGTTTTACGAGGCGTGTCGTCGGTCGTTGCAGCTTCACACACACACACACATGTGCTACGACGACGACGACGATGATCGAGAATCGAATTATCAATGACCCAAAGGCTAATTGATTTAATGGATATTCGATGCCGGATCATTAGTGCGTTAGCATCCCTAATTTTTTCATTAAACGCGTCTATTTTCGTCGACGAGGCACGAGCAATTGATTTATCCAAGCATACGGTCGGTTTTTGAGTATCTTATGTATACAGCAGTAGCGAAGAAGAATGCGATTAAGATCTGTAACTATGATTTATTAGACAAAACGAGCGCTCGATTGGATCGACAGACGTGACTATCTGCGTATCGAATGTACGTGTAATGGTTTTCGTTCAAGGCAAGAGAGTAACCTCGCGATCGGTATATATAGCGAGCAATTCGAGACGGTAATGTCATCTTCTTGCTGTAATAAAGAAAAAAAAAGAATAAATAGAGGCTAGCCAATACGACGTAAAAAAATCGTACTCGAACGTACAATGATATAAACAATTTTTTTCGAGATCCAAAGATTCGAGCAAACTCGCGAGCATATACATTCTCGTGTGCTGCTGGCGATCTTCGTGTAATACATGCACACGAGAGACACACGGACACGAGGCCCGCGCGTGCAAAAAAGTGGAGATCCCTGCGCACCGCGCCACCGCGGAGCACAGCTTCAGCCCCGGCTGTATACAGCTCGTGCTCGCGTCGCTGAATTTCGCGAAGGAAATAAATCAAAGTGCACATTCGCCCGGTGCGTGTGTGTGTTTCTCTGCGCGGAAGATCGCCACATGGTTTATATGTTATACGGTATAAAACGAGAAGAAACGTTTATAAACACACACATACCTATATGCATGCACACACACACACACACACACACACATGCAACGAACCCGCAGAAAAGTCACGCGTGGTGGTCGTGCGCGCGCTGCAGCAGCACACGGCCATCGCGCGGACAGAAGAAGAAAACGATGAGGGCTGCTGCTGCTGCTGCTCAACTCTCTTACTTACTTACCTTCTTCTGTTTTTTTTTTTTTTTTCAAAGACACGTATAGTTCTTCCAGAACGAGAGAGGTCAGTGCACGCGCGCTCTCCGACTGTACAACGTGTATTATATATATATAGTATAGTTTTGCCGTGAGGCAAAGAAGATACCGGCTGCACACTTTGCGTGTCCCTCATTCTTTCTTTCTTTCTTTTTTGCCTCTCTTTTTTTCTTCTTCGTATTTTTCTCTCTCTCGCTGGCTCGACTCCCGAACGTTTTAACTACACACGCGAGTACTCTATACACGTATGCGCTGCTGCTTGGCTCTCTCTCTCTCGCGCGATGTACCGAGAAAACAATCGTCTTGCGTAATAACTAAATTCGTTGCGAGGCGTAATTACTTAACTCACGGGCGCACAGCTCGCACCTATATTATTTTCCTCGTGCGCGCGTCTGTGCTGCAGCTGCGATCGCTCCGTTTTTTTTAATAAGTACATTCGTCGTTCGTCCGCGGAATTTCCAAATCGATCTCGTTTATCTCGGTGACCGAGAAGCCAAAATTTTTTTTAATAACCCGCCGCTGCGATTATATGCAACCGATATTATATACGTACGAGCGGAGATCGGTACGGAATCTCCCCAAAATGAACGAGTGAAAGAGAGAATACGCCATTTTACGGTATTATTATATTATGTATCGGCTGCTGCTGTGGCTGCTGCAACCTTTGCGTGCACTGTGTGCAGTTCCCGTTTGAAAATACAGTTGTTAAACACTGCGCGCGTGTGTGTATGTATGTACTTTGCCGAAGCTTCCGGTTTTTCTAAGAATCTGCCTCGCGCGACGGCCAATGTTAAAAGTCTCTCTGTGTGTCGCGGACAATGAATTCGGCTCGGCTAATAATAACGCGCGCCGCGACTACGCACGCACGTGCACATACACGTGCATTAACGCGCAACGCGCCGTGTTATGACCTTTTGTTCAAAAAAAAACGTATAATATACACGCGTCGGACAACACCCTGTTTCGACCGTGTGTATATTATTTGTATCATTATAACGTAAAATCCTACAAAGTGAATAATGAATACGCGCGCGTACGTATACGGGAAATTGTTTATTAAAAAGTCGCGAGCGGGCAAACCGCAAACGCGCCTCCGCGCCCCGTATTCAATTTATCCAACAGTATGTATCTTATACGTGTATACGATCTCTAATGAATTTTTTTTCTCTTTTGTGTTTTGCAGATCACCCGAGCAGAGCGAAAATCGTCTGCCAAGCAATAACTTCGCCATAGGTGAGTAACGAAACGAATAAAAAAAAAGTTAGAGATAGAGACACATCTCTTCCTCTCGTATTATAATACTACTTAACGTGCTGCTGCTGCTTCTTCTTCTTCTTCTTCGGCTTCGCAACGGAAGGAAAGGGAAACACGTATACATTCGCTGTACATTATACACCTATTAATAGCAGCGAGTCGAGCGGGTTCGGCTAAAAATACAAACACTTTGGGATTAGGATAAAACGCGCGCGTTAGGAATACACGAGAGATTAATTCTTATAAATATTGCGCAGATATATAATACGACTAGAGAAGCCCTCGAAAGAGCGCGCGCAAAAGCTCGCCTGTGTATTATAACGTATACGGCTGCTGCGAGAGACGCCGAAGACGACGACGACGACGACGATGTTTGTAACCCTCCTCCTCGTGCGTGGCATTTCGGGCATACCGATCCGGAAATAGATCCCAAGTCCAAACGTTATTATATAGTATAAACGACGTCGACGACGACTCGCACACGTTTCAGGACGTCGAGCGCAAGCGGGTCGATGCTCTCTCGCATGCATGTGCAATGCACGGCACAGACGACGACGACAAACAGAATCATATGATGATGTCTGCGGCAGCTAAACGCGTACAACCAGTGCGTGGTGCGTATAGTATATCAAGCACGATGACACCTTCAATTGATGGGATTGCTCGGATTTATGACGTTTTGTACTCTTTATCGCTCGTGTGTATATATAAGTACGCATAGACGTGTGCGAGGCGCGACAGTCTCCCACAAGATACGAAGCTGTATATATAGAGAGAGAGAGAAAAGCTCGTACACGCACATATAGGCGTCTGTCGCAGACGTCGTCTAGGCTTTTACCATTGAATGTTCGTTTCCGACTGTGCGCGCGCGCGCTCTGCTCGCGACGTTATTTTACGAGTTTTACTGTACACTACTGCGAAGAGCCTAATTTTAGAAAAACTGAGACGCGCGCGCGTGACACGACACGACCGACTGCGACGACGACGATGATGGACGAATGATTTTTTCAATCATGTACGGACATTATCGTTCGACAGATTTTTGACTGATCGATCCGCAGCTTGGATTTTTTTTTCCTTTTCGTAAGCTGCAGCGACGATTGGTTCAAGTTGTATTGCGAAAAAAAAAATGATATGCAAGGTTAAATTTATACCGATCTCAGCTATCTAGTGCGCACGAGCTTCGCGTACACTCGTGTTTTTTTTTTGTTTTTGAGAGCAGCGCTCGACTCATTTGTACTCCTACGTGCATATCATCGTGTGCACATGTTCGATTGTTTTCGTCCGAAAAACGCCGACGCTCGTGTTTTTTTTTCTCTCTCTGTCTTTCTGATGATGGTGCGGGATTACGTACTATATGTCGACGAGCAACTCGGGTGTCTACTATATACATGCATATATTTCGACGAAATATTCTCTCCTCTATATTTTTTAGTTTCTTTCTTTTCATCGAGAGCTGGCTCGTATCAGCGGATAGCTTATCCGAGAAGATCGATGAGTCCGTTTCGGTGTAAAACGATTACGCGAAAAGTTGAGCGTCGCAACACGTGTGTCCGTTGTGTATTATCGCGCTATTTTACATCGTCCTTGGAGATCTGACAGGTAGTCTCGTTTCTCTGTAGCTCTGATGGTATTTTAAAAATAAATACCAGTCGATTCATCGGACGGGTGAATGAAATCGGCTTTGTTGCGCGCGTCGGTGCATCGGTTGCGAACGAATAACAATCAATGAATCTATTCGAGACCTAATGCAGTATACGCGTCGTGCTGCAGAAGAGCACACTTTGTTCGTCGTTAGATAAAACATTCAGGGACAAAAAAAAATCGTATTTACTTTGTCCTTGATGACGACGGCAGGCAGACGAGACGCGTAACTGCGCGGTCTGCGTAAGCTTTCGACGTCTCGCAATTTCGTAAAATTAGTTTTTTGCTCTTTGTTTTATTATTCAAAAGAGAAGAAAAATGTAAAGCTGTCACCAATGACATTTTGACGTTTACAAAAAAAAGAACGAGCTCCATTAAGTTTTACGTAATTTACCGTTGAAACTTTTCTCAAATTCGCTTACAAAAAAATTTCATCTTCTACGAGAAACAACGACGTCGTTCCACTTTTAATTTCTTTCTATTAAAAACGTCATCCACACGAATTTGTAAAAATCCTCGCGCTGCACAGTCGAATATAGCAATGCTCGCGCGAGGCGCAACGGCAGTAAGCGCAGAGCAGTCGTGTGCCGCCGTCGCCGCAGCAGCAGCAGCAAAGCACCTAGAAAATCCCCAGTTTTGGTATTGATCGAATTTCCTCAGGAGGCAGGACGTTGTGGCGCCCTGATGTATATACATATATACGTGCACGCGCCGCCGTCGCCGTTGTACAGTAGTTATATCGCCTCGTATACAGTATAAAACGTACCCTGCGCTCTGCTGCCCTCCCATTGGCGGACCCCCTATATAAGTCCGTGGTATAGAATCTTTCGTGTATTTCAACTCTCTCTCTCTCTCTCTCTCTCGCTCTCTTTACCCCGAGTAGCGACTGCCGTACATAAACGTGTAATTTTGTTACTTAAAAAAAAAAGCGTTGCGTCACTTTTTTACACCTGCGGGCACGCGATGCACATGGTGCCTCTCACCAAGTCTTCAGGCCACTGTTTCTATCTTTTTTTTGTACGCAACTAAAAATAAACCTTATTCCGAAGAAACCGTTGACGTTTATCACGTATTAATTTTAATAATATTACCGAGCAAGGAGCATGGATAATATAACAGCAGCAACAAAAAAAACAATTTCAGTTAATGGCGAACTGCATTGAGGTCAGCATCGTCGCTCATACACACACGCGTTCGTTTATAACGTTTAACGCGGGCGCGCGCGCGAGAGCAAATACGGCGCGATTGAAAAATACTCGGAAACTTTCAAATCGTCGATCCGCCAATTAAAATCCGCGTTGTTTTACGACCGAGTCTTCGATAGAAATTTATGTAAAGCTTCTGCGTACAACTGCTCCACGCTAATGTCTATATGATGTTATTTCTTCGCTCGAAACATCTCTCGAAGCTCGACCTGCAATGTTCAATTCTTCGCGGTAATTGTATGGATAAATAAACCACACATGTCTTTGCCCGTTTGTGCATATCGTATTATGCGTGCACACACTCTACTATGCGTATGTGTGCGTGCAACCGATGCCTCTCCGCAGCCACCGCCGCCGACAGCATCGAACGCGCGCAACTGCCCGTGCGACCCGGAAGCCGCGTATTCGGGTTAAGTGCGAGCTTCCGGCCCGCGCCAGCGCGCATGTGTAACGCACAAATACACGGCGGCGATACAAACTATATTATATACATAAACGCCAAGCCATCGCAGCGTTCGGTAGTACACGCGTATTTAAGCTCGATCACCGAGGCGAAAGCTCTCGTGCGAATCATCGACTGTGTGTTATTTATTAACAGCCCCGTTGAGATTTTTTTTCTTTCTATTATATACTCGCACATCGTCATCGCGTTCTCGGGACACATCGATGATCGATTCAATTTCGCGCGCGTGTCTCGCGAATAGCATGGGATGTTTTATACACGATGATACATTCATGCGCAGCCATCGTACACGAGGGTTTATAGTTGGTGTTGCGAGCAATGACGTGGCACGAGGATGGTTGCCATAGCTCACGGTATTAAATGTACCCGCGCGGCGCAGAGTCACACGGCAACGCAGCGAAAAAAAAAGAAATTGTCAGATAGAGGGTGCACACGCACGCACACACACATTTATTGCTTGTATATATACGCACAACGAGAGACCCTTGGAAATATTATCGGATGTAGAGAGAGAGAGAGAGAGAGAACCGAATGTGCGTGCATTACGCTCGTACACGATTGTATCGCTCGCCGTTCATTTTACCGCCGCGCATGGCAGCGGCGGTAGCTTTTTTTTTTCACTTGTTTCGGAGGGCTCTCTCTCTTAAACTTCACGCGCGCGTCCCTTACATGTAGCAGCATAAATTGCTTGCTTCGCATAGTACTTACCTCTCCCGTACCCCCACGAGCACGCGCGATTCGATATCAAGTTCGCGCCGATGAGAGAGAGAGAGAAAAAGTAACGAGAGGAAGAAGAAACTTTAAAATCATTACCATCTCGATACGAGCTACGACTTTCGTACAAAAACACGTGTAAAAAGTATACGCGATGTTTCGGTTTCTTATACACGATGCACTTCGTACGTCGACTACCGCTGTGTACATATATAACTCGTGCGCACTCGGCGTTGAAGAATGAAATACTTCGGTTTCTCAAAATGTCGCCGCACACACACGCAGACGGTGCATATTAGTGCACGCACACACAATAAACACATTGTGCGCGACTCGACGTTGACACGCTGCAGTACAGAGAGAGCCCACGCGACGTACTCTTCTTCTTCGTAGTCGCCTTGTCGCGTGCAGTTTCCATTGTTTTCTCGGGAAAACTACGCATTATAATATAATACACGTATCTTGACAAGAAAAAAAAGGGCGTCGGTATTACAACGAAATATAACAATGTAACGTGCCGAAGCGCCACGCTTATTACAACGCACTTGTTGTTTATACGGAACCACGTGAATTGTAAAACGTCGCGCTCCGACTTTTGGCCGCGAGATTTTCAATAATACGAAGAGAAAAGAGAAGGCGAACGAGAGCGCGTATATATAATAATAAACGTTCGCTTCGATTCTCTTATTTTTAAACGGGGCTATATATGTATATATAATATATATCGGTCGTGTCGATCGCACGACGATGCGTTCGCGCGAGACGAGTAAATGCCATTATAAGGAACAATAATATGCACTTGAACTGCGCGCGGCGGCGATCCGGTGATATATACTATATACGATAATAATACACGCACGCCGCGGCAGGCTCGGGTGCTCGCGGGATTTCCATCGATTTTTACGATTGCTATAAACTTTTCTCGCGTCTCGAGTTAAACTTTTTAATTAAAT